TCTTTCCTAGTGACATTAGGATCTAACAAATTAGGCGTGATGAAAGTGGCTGTGGAGAGATAAAGAGAACGGATGTGATAATATGTAAATAAAATAAAACTACATTGAAATGGGAGAAAGAAAGCCAAAGAAAATAAAGAAAAATAAAATCAAAAATCAAATAAGAGGAAAATCAAGAAAGCGAAAGATGGAGGATTTAGTTAGAGATGTAAGGAATCTAGAATTGAATCCACTAGCAAATTTTTCTTGTAGATTATGAACTATTCTCTTTTTATCACATTTTACTTTAGATTTATTAAGTATAGACTATCAAACCACTTAATGAAAGCATAACCTATTAAATTATCATCCAAGTAAAATTAACATTTATGAATAGAACAACTAAATATTAATTCTAGAATTTATAAGCATAACCTATCAAACCATTCAAGATAAGCATAGATTATTAACTTCTTCTTCCACCAATTAGTTCTCAAGTTGATTATCCTAAGCATGATCTTTTTAAGCATAAGAGAATAATTCACAAATTATAAAAGAAATCAAACTAGTTTCATACAATTCTTGAATTTCTACAAGAATTAATTCCACATCTTTGAAAATAAAAACAAAGAAATAAATCTATTCAAGAGAGAATAAAAAGAATGAAAATAAAAATTAATTCCCAAGAGGGTTCTAGTCTCTTGGAGAATGAAAGGAAAAAAATTAAAATAAAAACTATTTCCCAAGAACGTTCTAGTCTTTTGGAGAATGAGAGAAAAAGAACTAAATCCCAAAAGGGTTCGAGCCTCTTGGAGAATGAGGAAAAATATGAAAATAAAAACTAATTTTCAAGAGAGTTCTAGCCTCTTGAAGAATAATGCAAGAAAATAAAATCTAAACTATGCAAGAAAATGAATCTATACTATAAAATACAAGAAAATAAAAACATGAAAGAAAATCTACTCTATAAGGCATTAAAATAAATCTAAAATAAGAGGGTTCTAGCCCCTTGAATATCTAAAATAAGAAAAGAATATATTATAAGAAAATAAAAGGTAAAAGAGAAAATTTACATTACAAGATGGTTCTAGCCTCTTGAAAGCAAACATTCATCTTTATCTTCATCTTCAACTTCATCTTCATTATCAAACAAAGAAAAGAAAAGAAAAATATGAAGAAGTGAAAACATATTGTTAATTGCAACAAAGTTACAATTTTAGAAAGTCTTCCCAATTAAGAGTAACTCTCCTCTCCAAATAGAGTTATTATAAAACTTTTCGCACCCAAACCTCTCACCATCTACCCCTATTTACAGCCTATAACAATGAATGAGAACCCTTGGATATTACTTGGAGATTAAAGATTAAATCTTAGGCATAAAATAGTTTCTGTTGCGAACCAATAAGTTAACCAATCAGTTGACCAATCGGTTGGCCGACTGATTGGCTTGCAACAAATTTTTTTATTTATTTATTTATTATTATTTTTTTTTTATTTCTTGACCCAATTTCTTCATGGATCATTGAGCTTTCTTTGGCCTTCTTTTATTTTCATATTTAGGCTTCAATAAATGGTAGAAAATAAGGGAGTTTGATTCTTTTAGGCTTTTATTCATTAATCCTTCATTAACTTGCAAATTAAGATAAAACACGTTTATTAGTGACATTTTTATTTAAATAAAATAGATAATGAGGGTATAAAAATGTGATTATCATTTTATTTGACACAGTTCAATTAATAGTATGAGTCATAGTGGAAGAAATTCAACCAGTCTCTCACATGAAAGGAAGGTTAACCTTACTTTTTTTAAGCAAAATTTTTATTTTGTAGCCTGACATGACTATATTAATACTTCATCTTTGGAGGAGTTGACAATTGCTTATTGTGGAGATCCCAATGTCATTGTTCAAGAAAGTAATATTGATCTATATTATCATGCAATTTTAGTTGGACAAATATCAATAGGAGTTGGAAACGGTCTTTATAAATGTCCATTATGTGATCTAAAAGCAAGAAGTTTACAAAGTTGATATTAAGATAGCATACCAATGGAGCTGTTGCTTCCCCAAGAAATAATCGTACTTTAGCTGATGTTGTGCTCACCTAGGAATTTTGAAGTATCGCATTGGTAAATTTAGATTTCTATTCTATGCTTGTTGTCTTAGTTATTAGATGTTTAGAGTTTAATTAGTTAAGTATGCCTGTTGTCTTAGTTATTAGATGTTTAGAGTTTAATTAGTTAAGTATGCAGCTGAATGTTTGCTGTCAAAGTTATTGTGTTTTAGTGTTCAATTACTTTGCTTAATATAAATTCCAATTGTTTCTATTATTGAATTATTGTAACAGATGTGTATTTGATGTTGGACAATTCCAGCTGATTTGTAATCATGTTACTTGATAGAATTATGTTGGATCATCATAATAAATTTTGCTCAGGTCGTGATCTTTGACACTCAATTCACAAACACATGCACAATATATTAGTTAGATTAGAGTCAAGGAATATATACCTCTGATGATGCGACACTGGAATTGAGTAACACGGGAAGATAAGCCTACAATAATTGAAGGTAAACACAATAAGTAGGTTGTTCCGTTGCCAAAACATTCTACAACCAATGTATCAACTAAGTATGTAATTTGCACCTGAATATGTTTGATCCCACAGTAATTATGTTTTAATGTTTAATTACTTTGTTTAATATAATTTCCAATTGTTTCTGTTATTGAATTATTGTGACACGTTCGTATCTGATGATGGAGAATTCCTGATTTGTAATCATTTTGGTTGATAGCACTTTGGTGGCTAAGAAGAAATAATTTTTGATCAAGGCATGATCTTTGACAGTCATTTCTATTATTCAAATAAAATCCCATTGTAAAAATATTCTACAACCAATACTGTACAGATTATAAGGTGTCTTTCTACACATAATCGAAGGTAAATATAGTAAGTAGGTTCTTTCATTGCAAAAATAGTCTACAACCAATAATGTACAGATTATAATAGGGTGTCTTTATACACAATAAAAATTGAGGTGTCTTCATACACATAATAAAAATCAAGGTGCCTTTATACACTTAATAAAAAGCAATTTTAACACACGACCAATTAAGAAGAATGAATACTAGTAAGTTACCGTTGATCTGAGGACGTTGGGAGTAAATGCAACCTAATTAATAAGGAAGGAATACCGGATCATCATAAAAGCATGAACTTGAATCATAACAACGAAGATGAATGAATACTGGTAAGTTAGCATTGACCTGAGGAGGGTGGGATGTTCTTCCTCTTCTTTTTCTTCTTCTCCTGATAAGAAACCGACACAAGGATAAAAATGAATGGGAGTTGAGGTAGATGTGAGAATGTTTTTTTAACACTTTCACATGAAACTTTTTTTTAAATGCCTCTCAATTTTTTAATATACTGTTGGGTGGTATTCAGATACAAAATATTGGAACTAATTTAAAGATTTGAGTTCTTATGCAAATATGACTTTTGAAGGGTTCTTTTGCAAACTTCCCTTTCCTTATCTAATTCACATCCGCGTTATTATCCTCTGTCATCTTCCTCATTCACTGCTTATTCCATTTCTCCGATCATTAAAAGAAAATCCCGATGATTCCTCCATTCTTCCTTCTTTTCCTCCAAGCGAAAATATCGTCCTCATTGCGGCAATGTCAGCGGCCTCTCCGAATGTGAATTCCTCCTCCTTGATGACAGCGATTATTCCAACGGGAAAATCAAGATTGCTATAAAAGGGGATCTCAATGAAGGATGAAACGTACGGAAAAAAAACAGTGAGCAATCCCTAATCTCCCTCTTATTCTCTACAATATTTGATTTCTGATTTCAATTTTCGGCAAAAACATCCATTGAGCAGAGATCAAAGTTTCGCAGTAAACTTTTGTGCCGACTTTTTCGGGGGTTTCTTACCGCTAGGCGTGGTCGCATCAAATCGTCTCTGCGAAGGCGGCGACTATTGTTCTAGGGTAGTGATCACACGATTACCCCTTTCTAAGGCCTGCGTTTCTAACTTTCTGGAATTTCTATTTTGATTATTTTGCAGTGGTTTTATTTCTAACAATCTAGAACAATAGTCAGAATTATAAATTCTATATATTTACTTCTGCTGCAAAAGTATTTTTCTTCAAAGGATCTGATAATTTGTTCGCAACCTCAATAATATTGTGGTCTCTGTTCTCTGCTGCATATCTTCACGTGCTTTATAAGTATCATAATTACTTTTGGTGCATGTTCCTAATCTCTAATTGTCAAATTTATTTGATTGCTGAGTGAAAGAGCGATATCATTTCTCTGTTAAGCGTTTATTTCTTTCAACAAGGAAAAACACTTTGTTCATGCTTGTTTTGCTCATTATGCTAGTATCTTCTCTTTGAGCATATATTTCATTCAGCGTATGTTTTCCTTGATCAACATTTGAGTGATCAAGTTCTTGATAGTTTTGGATTTTATTGCTGGTTAATATAGAACTTTAGAAATAGATTCAAATAGCTTGCCGAAATTATTTCTTGCTTGTCATTGACATATTTCATATTTAATCACATTATTTGTATCTGTTGCCTTTGAAAACTATCCAGACAATAATAATAATAATAATTAATTTGAGTTACCACCACATTGATTCTTCTCTGTTTCATATCATTCAATTGCTTTACTAATCTATATTCATTTGCAAAGTTTATTTGTTAGATTAATACTTGCTACAGCTAACTTTTATTTAGATCTTTGCATAACCACAAAGCAATTTTATATCTGCACCTTTAATAGTGTCAGTGTGCATATACTTCATATTTATCCATTCTTGTGAGTTTTAAATTTTGTGAACCATTGTTATAAGTCTATATCTCACAAACAAGTTCTTTTCAGATCATTTGAATTACCAAGACTAGCAATTTTATTTTCAGACTTTATGGCTAGTTCCGATCTATCTAAGTCAGCTAAACCTGAGAAGTTCACCGGTTTGAACTACAAACGGTGGGCTAATCAGATGAAATATTGGCTTACAACTTTAGGACTTATTTCTGCTATTGACTCTGATTTTTCTTTATCAACACCTACACCCTCTTCATCATCACAAGTTGAACCTATCCCCACACCTACCACATCATCCGGGATTTCCAAATCTCCTGAGGAAATAAACTTTCATTGTTACAACCGAATCCTTAGTGCTCTTTCAGACAAATTGTATGACATTTATTATGAGTATAAGGATGCAAAAGAATTGTGGGTAGCACTAGAGTCTGAATATGGTTTAGATGATGCTGGTATAGAACGTTTCTCCTCCTCCTCCTTTAATAAGTTTGTTATGGTAGATAGTAAACCCATCAATGATCAGCTTCATGAATTTCAAGACTACATCCGATACCTTCAGTCGAAAGGAAATACTTTCTCTGAAGAATATAAGGTATCTAGTCTTATTGATAAACTTCCTCCTTCTTGGTCTGATTTTGCTAAAGATCTCCGTCATCTACAGGGTGACTTGACTCTTGTACAAGCCCTCAAAGGTATTAGGATAGAGGATCAACATAGGCAAAACTCCAAACCAAAAAATGAAATGAAAGCAAAAGTAAACCTAGTGGAAGAAAAGCCTAAGAACTTTAGAAACCCAAATCACAAACCAAAGGGCAAGAATTTCAAGAAGAAGAATCTTTCCCATCGTCCTAACCAACATCCCAATCTCTCTAGAAACCACAAACCTTTTAGCCAAAAGTCTGAGACTAAATTTTGCTATGTCTGTGGGAGAACCAATCATCTTTCGACTCAGTGCTACTACCGAAAGAAAGCTCCTATCAAGACTCATGTAGGCGGAAAGGGTGAAGAAGCAAGTCATAGGGTCAACATGGTAGAAAATAACTCAGACTCCTTTAGGTTAGCTTCCTCCTCTTATGTTGTAAATTGTACCACTTTTTCTGATGACTGGTGGTTGGATTCTGGAGCAAATATTCATATATCTTCTGATCGCTCTTGGTTTTCAACTTATCAATAATCAAGTGGAGGAAATGTAATTCTAGCAGATGACTCGACTAGACAAGTAATGGGAAGTGGACGTGTGGACCTAAAGATGACTTCTGGAAAGATTTTGACTCTCCATAATGTCCTACATGTACCATTACTTAGAAGAAATCTGATTAGTGAATCTGTTTTATTGAAAGTTGGATTCAGAATTGTTAAAGAGTCAAATAAGTTTGTAATTACCAAGAATGATATATTCATTGGTAAAGGTTTTGTTTGTGATGGTCTTTTTAAGTTGAATGTAATAAGATCCTCTGATAATAAAAGTTCTTCTTCCATAATTTTAAATGTTGAATCTTGTGACAAATGGCATGGAAGGTTAGGACACATAAACTATGGAACCATTAGAAAAATGACATCCTTGAACTTGATACCCAAAACCAAGATAGATCCACCTTCTAAGTGTGAGATATGTGTTTTGCATTTCTTTCCCCATTTTTGATGGTGACAAAGGGGGAGAGAAATCTCCTCATTTGTTGCATATATTTAGGGGGAGCTCATAGATAGGGGGAGCACCTATCTATAAGCTATTTTATTTTTGCTCTTATATAATGGTTGGTTGTCATCATCAAAAAGGGGGAGATTGTTAGCCCTTATGTTTTGATGATGTTCTTACAACCACCATTATCGGTACTAATGGCTTATTGAGTGTAAATGTAGCAAATTCCTTTATTAAGCTCGTTAGTGCCATTAATGGAGGATGGATGGAATATACGCTACAACGAAGATATCCAAAGGAGGAGGAGGCCAAGAGATGAAGCAACGTTATTTCAAGAACGACAAATTCGAATAAAAGCTTCATCCGATTCAAACTATATCAAAGCTCAAGTATTGCTCTCTATATGAGGATATTAGCTTTCTTTTGCTTTTCTCTCTAGTGCTAGAATGTAGGCAAAGAGTTACTGTTGTTACTTGAAGCTATTGGGAATCACACACACGTTTTTCATACTTATGTTTTTAAGCGTTTTTTCACAAAATATTATTTTTCACAAGTATGAGGACCTATCTGCAAAATTCTTTTTCCAAGAAGTTTGTTTTTAGTATTAAAAACATTTTACAAAGTTTCAGAATTTTCAGAGGTCAAATAAATATTTTGCAAATATTTCAAGTTGGTCAAAAATCTGTTTTCTGCAAAATGTCAGAAAGCGGTCGACCGGTCCGGTCGACCGCTCCCATGGCCATTCCTCAGTATTTTCCAGAGAGGTCGTCGGTCGACCGGTACGGTCGACCGAAATCTCGGTTTTCAAATCGGTCGACCGTGCCGGTCGACCGACGATGGCTCTGTTTGTTTTCAAAGTTTTCATAGCGGTTGGCGGTCGACCGAATTTTTCGGTCGGTCAACCGACCAAGTTTTTCGGTCGACCGAAGGTTTATTTCAGACGACCGAAAATTCCTTCAGTCAATCGTGACTTTTTTAAAACGGTCGTTTTGCCTCGTTTATTGTGCTTTCACTTAACAGTGTTTGGCACAGTCTGAGCTAACAATCTGAAAAGAAGATTATCTTCCTAAATGGGAAGATTGGGTTTTGTTTTAAAATGATTTAATCTCTTCTATAAAAACCCCTCAGACTTCTTCTTCTTCCTGAGCCCTAACGTTTGCAAAAACCAGAGAGCTTTTTCTGTTTCCTGAGTAAAATTTTCAAAGTCTGTTTTCTCTCTGTTTTCAAGTGTGATTCACTTCCCAGCTTCAGTAAACCTTCTCTTTGCTATTTCTGCTGTGTGAGTGAGATCTTGTGTAGATCAACTGTGAGGGAGTGTGATCTGTTGAGATTAAACTGTGTAGTGAGAGAGATCGTGTGGGATCGCTGTGTAGACGAAGTTCCGGCTTCCAAACCGGGTGTGTAGTGGATTTATCCTCGAGAGTGGCGAGCAGGGACGTAGGCCAGAGGGCCGAACCTCGTTAACACATCGCGCGTCAAGGATAACAAACTCCTAACCCTATCTCTCTTACTTTAATTGCTTTACTGTTTTGTGGTTTGCTTGTGTTTGTTTTTTATTGCATATTAGAGCCTTTTGACCCTAATCACCCCCCTTCTAGGGTCCAACAGAAGTCTTAGAAAAGTTTAAGATATATAAAGCAGAAGCTGAGAATCAAATTGAGAAGAAAATAAAGATCCTAAGATCGGATCGTGGGGGGGGAGTATACCTCAAATAACATGACCGAATATTGCCAAGAACACGGTATTATTCATGAGGTGACTGCTCTCTACACACCGCAATCCAATAGAGTTGCTGAAAGGAAGAATAGAACTCTCATGGATATGGTAAATTGTATGCTTCTCAGCTCAGGAGCACCTGAAAACCTATGGGGTGAAGCACTCCTATCTGCTTGCTACATTCTTAATAGGGTACCTCACAAAATATCTGATATCTCTCCCTATGAACTTTGGAAGGGTAGAACACCTAGAATAGATTATCTTAAGGTTTGGGGATGTCTAGCTAAGGTAGGGATACCTGAACCTAAGAAGAGAAAAATTGGTTCAAAAACTGTTGATGCTGTATTTATTGGATATGCATTAGATAGCAACGCAAACCGGTTTTTAGTAGTCAACTCAGATATTAGTGATATAACCAACAACACTATCATTGAGGCTCGAGATGCTGTATATTTTGAAGATATATTCCCTTCCAAGACTAGGATTCCTAGTGAGCTCTCTTCTCTTTCCCCTTCTAGATTTGCCTCATCTTCTAGTACTCCACAATCGATAGAAGTAGAACCCAGAAGAAGCAAAAGAGGAAGAATCGAAAAGAACTTCTGAGAAGAGTTCTTTACATTTTTGGTTGAAGGTGATCCAAACACATACCATGAAGCCATGAATTCTTCTGAAGCTCCTTTTTGGAAAGAAGCCATAGATAGTGAAATTAAATCTATTATAGAAAATAACACTTGGGTTTTAACTGACTTACCTCCAGGATGTAAACCAATTGGTTGTAGATGGATTTTCAAGAAGAAATTAAGACCTGATGGAACCATTGAGAAATATAAAGCTAGACTAGTAGCAAAAGGGTATACTCAGAAAAAGGGTATTGATTACTTTGACACATACTCACCTGTAGCTAGGATTTCTTCTATTAGAGTTCTTCTAGCCTTAGCTTCTATTCACAAGATGATTATTCACCAAATGGATGTTAAGACCGCTTTCTTAAATGGTGATCTCGAAGAAGAGATTTTTATGGACCAACCAGAAGGGTTCATAGCCAAAGGTCAAAAAAGAAAGGTCTGTAGATTGATGAAATCTCTATATGGGCTTAAACAAGCTCCTAAACAATGGCACCAAAAATTTAACAAAATCATTGCGGAATATGGTTTTTCTATCAATGAGTTTGATAAATGTGTTTACTCAAAAGTTTTTCACAATGATTGTGTCATCTTATGTTTGTATGTAGATGATATACTCATTTTTGGGACTTCAATCGAAGTCGTTCTAGAAGCTAAAAATCATTTGTCAAAGAATTTTGACATGAAAGATCTTGGAGAAGCTGATTTGATTCTTGGAATGAAAATCTCCAAAACTCCTAAGGGCATTTCTTTGAGTCTATCCCATAGCATAGAGAAAATGTTAGAGAAATTTGAATTTCATAAGTGCAAACCTGTAAGTACACCTTATGATTCCTCAATCACCTTGAACAAACATGATGGTGAACCTATATCCCAACATAGATATTCACAATTGATAGGCTCTCTTCTTTATGTGACTAATCGTACCAGACCTGACATTGCTTATGCAGTAGGTAGACTAAGTAGATACACTAGTAACCCAAGTCAGGAACACTGGAATGCATTAGAAAGAGTCTTTAGATATTTAAGAGGTACAACAGACTATTGTTTAACTTATTCTGGATACCCTGATGTGATTGAAGGGTATAGTGATGCTAACTGGGTCGCTGATTCTGACAATGTGAAGTCTACTTCTGGATTTATTTTTATGCTTGGCGGTGCTACTATATCTTGGAAATCTTGTAAACAAACAGTGATTGCCAGAAGCACTATGGAGTCTGAACTTATAGCTTTAGATTCTTGTTGCTCAGAAGCTGAATGGTTGAAAAACCTTATATCTGAACTCCCTTTTGTGTCTGGACCTATTCCTCCTATATCTGTTCACACAGACTCCAGATCCACTATAGAACTTTTAAAACAAAATCCCAACCTTTGATTGATGAATTATTCTCATGAAAAAGGTTCAATGTGGTAGAAACAAGCTGGATTGGTGATCTCGTGTGGAGCACTGACCTTCGGAGTTATACTCCTTTTGTAGTGTTGGATGCATTTATGACTTGCACCATGTTAGCTACTCCCTCATTCCTATGGTGACAGTGCTCTTATGATGTGACTGGGCAGGATGAGTTTTACTCTTAATAAGTCCAACCTTTGTGGGGGGTACAATATCCAGTCGTAGTACCCTTGGAGGACTTACCTACGTGAGAGGAACCGTGACGGCCGCGGTTGGGGACATGGGGCTGAGTCCTAGTAACTCTCATGAGACGGTTATTGTGAGCATGGCCATTATCGCTCCGACCCGCTCGCTCAATAAATGGATGCATATTATGTGTGCTTTTGTTAATTTCTGATCAAGGGGCCTAATTCAAGGTCTAATCTATTATGCCTCTCGGATTGCGACAAATGTCACTAAGTAAAGATTCAAAGCCCAAAGCTATCTTTACCGAATTCATAAGATGAGGTTGCCCGACCTATATTTTATTACTGTTATCATTGTTGTTATTATTATTTTCTTTTATTCCCCAGAACTCAATCTTTTGGGGGGAGGATTGTTGGAACTAATTTAAAGATTTGAGTTCTTATGCAAATATGACTTTTGAAGGGTTCTTTTGCAAAATTCCCTTTCCTTATCTAATTCACATACGCGTTATTATCCTCTGTCATCTTCCTCATTCACCGCTTATTCCATTTCTCTGAGCATTAAAAGAAAATCCCGATGATTCCTCCATCCTTCCTTCTTTTTCTCCAAGCGAAAATATCGTCCTCATTGCGGCAATGTCGGCGGCCTCTCCGAACATGAATTCCTCCTCCTTGATGACAGCGATTATTCCAACGGGAAAATCAAGATTGCTATAAAAGGGGATCTCAATGAAGGATGAAACGTACGGAAAAAAAAAACAGTGAGCAATCCCTAATCTCCCTCTTATTCTCTACAATATTTGATTTCTGATTTCAATTTTTGGGCAAAAACATCCATTAAGCAGAGATCAAAGTTTCGCAGTAAACTTTGGTGCCGGCTTTCTCGGGGGGTTCTTACCGCTAGGTGTGGTCGCATCAAATCGTCTCTGCGAAGGCAGCGACTATTGTTCTAGGGCAGTGATCACACGATTACCCCTTTCTCAGGCCTGTGTTTCTAACTTTCTGGAATTTCTATTTTGATTAATTTGTAGTGGTTTTATTTCTAACAAAAAATGTGCAATTTTATTTGAATTTCAAATTCGTACAATAGAGAGCATTCTAAGAGTCTAGCTACAAGCATATTGTATTTTTATTATTTGTTATTTGAATTAAAGGAGAATAATTTTACGTATATGAGTTGACTTTCTCATAAAACATCCCAGGAGCATGGCTTCAAGTTTGATATTGGCTATTGATCTTGTTTATATATAACTAAGGATATCAGGTATGCGCATTAATCCTCATATATATCAATTTATTAAAGTGACTGCACATGAAATGTCTTGCACTAATCATGAAATTACTGTGGAATGACTTTTATAAAACTATGAAAAAAACTTTGGTCTAGAACATATCTAATCAAGAAAGGTGCATCGTATAGTCGTTGTTATAATAATAATAATAGGTAAGGAAAACCTTACATAAAGATATCGATATCGAAGCTATAGCCATGTTATGATAGCACGCTTATGAATAAAGCTAATCGATAGAGGCTCAATCTTGAGAAGAATGAACCAGCATTTCCCTTGCATTTTGATGCTAAGTTCCGCATCGCTAGCCCCAATGCCGAGCAAATTGCATAGTATGTGGAGGATAAGAGATGCCACTACATGAACTATCCACTTCATAAGAATTGGGGCAAGGATCATGAACACTTGTTTTAATAGTTCTTTATGAGGTCTCAGGTTTAAATACATTTTTAACATCCTAATATCTAATTAATTATGTACCATTTGGTACATATATAGTTTAACACATGAATTTGTTGAATATGCAGAAAGATTACATGTTTCTTCCAGAAAATCCTTATTGTC